GAACTGGTGAAACCTATATAAGTTACCTGCTTTTGATCCCCAGTGTTTAATCCATCCATCTTAATGATAGCAAATCTCGGGAACTGGTGAAACCTATATAAATTACCTGCTTTTGATCCCCAGTGTTTAATCCATCCATCTTAGAAAGAGTGGAGCTGAATATTTGTCATCTTGAATACTGAGAGTAAAAATAAAAGTCTCGAGATTCACTAATATTTTAAACATTAGCTATAAACTATCATCTACTAGCCACAATTGTTGCCTAAAATACATTATCTTTACATATCTCTATAGTTTTTAAAAGGTCCACCGATTGGTCAGCGATAAGTTTACGGACTTACAATTTCGAAATTAACGGTTCGTGTTCCTGCGAAACGTCGTTTATGAAAGTATAATCATTTACTGGACTTAGGATCTAAACCACACCTGTCTTACTTGAACAAAATCTCCAAACACCTGTTGAAACGATGAAAGTAATAATGAATTTCATATTATTTGTATAATTGTCAAATCGTGAAGATTAATTATGTTTCTTCAATGAAATTATGGTTTGAAATAAAATAAAGCTGCTTTAAAAGCTAATGTTGTTGTTTTAGTGTAAAACTAAACAATGGGCTCAAGCGATCTAGTCTTTTTGGTTTTAGGAGGAATTTCTCGTACGTCAGATTGAAAATGTTACTCTGTTATTCTGTACATCAATTCCTGTAACATCCATCTCAGTAATCAAATAGATAACTTTAATAATTTTCGAGAAGTCGTGGTAAAGTGGCTTGAGTTAAACTACAAGCTGGTCCTACCTTTGGCTAGGAGATTATTTGCAAAGACTCGTCAATCGAATCCCCGTCACACCAAACATGCTTGCCCTTTCAGCCGTGGGGGCTGAATAATGTGACGGTCAATCCCACTATTCGTTGGTAAAAGAGTAGCCCAAGAGTTGGCGGTAGGTGGTGATGACTAGCTGCCTTCCCTCTAGTCTTACACTGCTAAATTAGGGACGGCTAGCGCAGATAGACCTAGTGTAGCTTTGCGCAAAATTCAAAACAAATATTAGGCTGGATTTTATATTATATTACTTACTTATATTACTGACTACTGACGTCAGAAAAACATCATGCTACATGAAAAAGGTTTTTAAGTAGGAGATTACCCAAGATACATGCCTGGAATGTATCACAATGCGTAATAGATTGCTTCACGACTATGCAAAAGGCTAAAGTTCATGAGTGGTGTCATAAAGGTAAAGGTGAAAGATCAGACCTGTCTATTCTAGTGAGTATAGTAGGGTGACAAACTAACATGGATAAGTCCGGAGAAATTCATCTTTCTACAGAGTAAAATCGTGAACAACCGGACTCTTCCTTCTGATGGGCCGATGGGTAAACTGCCGGACTGTCATTCCGCACTTGCAGTCGAGGGTGCGTTATAAGAATGACGGTTAATTCCACTATTGGATTAGAGTAGATGAACCTTTGGTGGTGGGTGTTGTTAACTAGCTGTCTTCCCTAAACCCGCGACCCTCAGATTGCGAGTCGAGCGCCTTAACCACCTAGCCATGCCGGGCCCACAATCAAGCCTGGTATCGTATAATACATCTAATGACTCTAACGGCAGTAATATATCGCTTTTAACCCGAGAATGTAAGCTCAAAGTGACTGAGACTTTGCACGTGGGAAGTGCAAACCTCTCATAATCTTAATGATCATCTATTACAGAAATGCACGACCATATACCTAATTCACTTATAAAATCATGATTAGACTATTAAACTGTGTGTGAGGCCTTCCAATAAAAATGGTAATTATCAAATCAAACTGAAATATTTGTTATACGTTTTGCTACAAATATGCCATAAATATACGCTAAAAATGTAATTGGATATCTCAAAACAATTTGTCGTAAGTTAACATTTATCCATTTTAACTTCAAGTTTCAGTAGCAGATCTATTTAAAGAGAAAACCTGTGTAGTGGCGCTGTAATGTAAATAGATAGAAAAAAAAATAAACGCAACTTTTGTTAGGTCTAATATGGTTACTGAGTAATATAATTTTATTAGTTCTATTTTGTCATACATGTTCGATATTTAAGACTATGGGTTTCATTTACAGTAAGTGAAGAGAAAGTTAAACCTAACTTTTTAGTTCTAGGGCTCCGAGTTTAACGCGATTACGTAACCACGATATTTTTTGCACAATTTACATATAACTGCATAATCAGTGGTTGAATGCATAATTACTGCATAATTTGAATCTTAATTTCTAGACTTAGTAAAGTCAATTTTGGGCCAATGTTACCAAATCTATAAATTTTGATTTAGTTTCTTGTTGCTTGGCAAATGGTTCCTGTTGACCAGCCTGATTAACGACTTCTAAAATTATGTTGCGTATCTGCTTGTTTGTTAATTTCCCGTAGAAATTCT